CCTGGAATCCGGGATTTAGTTTGTTCCGTAAGCAGGGAGTAGAGCCACTGACCTGGGCCGGGCAGTTTACCCAAGGCTACAAGGCTTTTGTGGTAGATCTGGGCGCAGTCTTTATCTTCTGCCAGATGGTCCAGCCAGTCCTCACAGGACCTTCCCGCAGGGGGAGCAGGGAGGGGACCCACTCACCATCTACAGCCCAGAGCAGCAGCAGCAGCTCAGCAAAACGTTGAACTAAGCTGAGCTCCAAGCATGCTGGATTCCTCAGTGAGGTCGATGGAGTGGAAGGATAAGCTCGCACCTAAGACCAGGGCTGTCCTTGGGCATAGGCAGCGAATGCGGCTGTGTAGGGCGCACAAAATCTTGGGGCACCCCTGGGACAGAGGGTACGAGCGGGTTGTCTCGCGCACACCCAGCAAGCACTGCACTCTCCTGAGGCCGGGGCCGTGTTCACGGAGCTGAATGTGCCAGCGCCGGGGTGTCTGTGGGGAGATGTCATTCTCTGCTGCGGGCGGCTCGGTGTCCTTTGCTGCCTCGTCCCCCGCTGCGAGCCCGGGCTGCTGTAGTGTCAGCTGTGCACAAAGCTCAGTGTGCATCACCACTGGGGGGGGGACGTTCTGGGGGCCCCAGAATAGTAAGACAGCCGAGGGCCCCATACACCCCAAGGGCGGCCCTGCCTGAGACCCCGATCCAGCACATGCAAGATGAAGGGAGTCCCTGGCCACTGGCTGCCCTGATTGGGGGTGCTTCTCAATGGAAGACGGGAGCCCGGCCAGCAGAAGGATTTCAGCATCTGTTTCCCATGACAGCCAATGGGAGTTAGGCACCTAGAGCTCGGTAACTCAGGACAGGGTTGAAATGAATGCACCAGAAGCGCCCAGATGGCCAGTGGGGCTGAGAGGGGGCCATTGTGGTGCCCACTGGCTCAGAGGGAAACTTCCCACCGTGTTCCCAGCCTCGCTGGCTTGGCTGAGTTCCCCAGGCCGGCCGGGAGGTGGGCTCCCCCACGGAGCCGCTCTCACTGCTTTTCTCACCTGCCCCCTTCAGAAAGCAGCTCTTCCATGCACAATGGTCCCCAATACCCCCAGCACCGCCACGCCCATCCCCAATACCCCCAGCACCGCCACGCCCATCCCCAATACCCCCAGCACCGCCACGCCCATCCCCAATACCCCCAGCACCGCCACGCCCATCCCCAATACCCCCAGCACCGCCACGCCCATCCCCAATACCCCCAGCACCGCCACGCCCATCCCCAATACCCCCAGCACCGCCACGCCCATCCCCAATACCCCCAGCACCGCCACGCCCATCCCCAGTGCCCCAGCACCGCCACGCCCATCCCCAGTGCCCCAGCACCGCCACGCCCATCCCCAGTGCCCCAGCACCGCCACGCCCATCCCCAGTGCCCCAGCACCGCCACGCCCATCCCCAGTGCCCCAGCACCGCCACGCCCATCCCCAGTGCCCCAGCACCGCCACGCCCATCCCCAGTGCCCCAGCACCGCCACGCCCATCCCCAGTGCCCCAGCACCGCCACGCCCATCCCCAGTGCCCCAGCACCGCCACGCCCATCCCCAGTGCCCCAGCACCGCCACGCCCATCCCCAGTGCCCCAGCACCGCCACGCCCATCCCCAGTGCCCCAGCACCGCCACGCCCATCCCCAGTGCCCCAGCACCGCCACGCCCATCCCCATACCCCCAGCACCGCCACGCCCATCCCCAATACCCCCAGCACCGCCACGCCCATCCCCAGTGCCCCAGCACCGCCACGCCCATTCCCAGTGCCCCAGCACCTCCCCGGGCCAGGGGTGTTCGGTGCCGGCAGCTTTTCCTCTCTAAGCCCTGGGTTGGATGGTTTGCTGCCGCGGTCGGCACTCGCGCCGTGGGGGCTCAGTCCCAGAGAAAGACAACACAAGCCACTGTCCCTCCGCCCACCCTGAGGTGCAAAGGAGCCACAGGGACTCCAGGCTGCCGCTGGGGGGCCTACAGATTGGTGCTGCTGGGAGCAAAAGGCCTCAGTAGCTCCTTGCCTGGACACCGGGAGGCAGAGGAGCTGGGCAGAGCATGGGCGGGGTGGTGGAGGGGGAGGATGTCGGGGTATGTCAGGGCCTACGGACGGGGCCTGTTTCATAGATTCCAAGGCCGGATCGCCTGCCCGGTCCAGCGGAGGCCAGGGCCCTGACCTGGAGCAGTTCCTAGAGCAGATCTCTTGGATTAGCCTCCACTCTTGATATAAAATGGTCGGTGATGGAGAGCTCTAGAACGGGGCCTGGGGAGGCCCCACGAGTAAAATGCCTGGCGTTGGGGGTGGAATTCCAGCTCCCGGGTCGCTGGAGCCGACGCAGCCTTAGTGGTGAGGAGCTGGCCTGGGCCTGAGGAGACAGCCGGGTCTTTCCTCCCTTCGGCGCCAGGGAGATGCAGACAGGGAGCGATTTCCAGAGAGCCCCTTTGGAAATGGCCTGTTCCAGCTGCTCTGATCTCCGCGGAAAGGCTCCGTTACCAGGCCCAGCCCCTGCCCGTGTGGCCGTGCGTGACTCTGCCCCGCGCAGGACGGGCTGGTGCTCCGGCTTGTGGCCTCTGACCTTAGCCCTGCACCAAGGTGAGCCCGGCGGGTCCGCGCACCCCCGGCATGTCCTGGCCCAGGAGCGGTGCCGTGCGGCTCTCCAGAGCCCCTCGCTTAGGCAGGGAGCGTCGCAGGCAGGGAGGCTCCGGCAGCAAGAGGGGAGCAGCCCCGCCAGGAAAGCAACACGGGCCTCCTGCCTCCAGCCAATGGGGAACGTGGTTTCCAGGTGTGCACTGGGCCACGCTTTCTGATTCTCCGGCTTTCCCAGGCTTCTGGCCCCCCGGCATCTCCCTTTACCCACCACCACGCGGTTCTGTGCTCGCCCCGAGGCTGCGTTCCTGGGGACTCGGGTTCCGGTGAGACAGCAACGCGCTCCTGACGATGCAGCCGAGAGCCAAGGAGAGAGCCGACCCGGCCCCGGTCAACAGCCAAGTTGATGCTCTCTGGCTAAGTCCGGAAGCCCGGAGGAGCAAATGCCTGCCAGGCTCAGAGTGGCAGCAGTGCCCCCGGAAGCCACTGGGAGGCTGGGGCACTGAGCACCTCTGCCAGTCAGGCCCCAGTTCCCTGGCTCCGGACAAAGTGCAGGAGTCAGCTGGCTCCACCCCTTGGGGACCTGGCCTGGAGGGACCATCTGGCTGACTGCACAATGGCAAACTGCATCTCCAGCCCGCTCCGTGTCTAGCCTCACCTCGCCCGCCCTGGGAGTGCAGAGAACAGGCCTAGTGCCAGCTCCACACAGGCAGGAGGGCACAGCAGAGACACCACAGCTGCAGCTGGCGCTAAGGGCTTGACTGCACACAGAGTTAATCCTGATTAACTCTGTGTAGACAATCTTATTCCAGATTACATGTCCCATGCCCATTGCTGCTACTGCCGGGGGAGTTCCAGCTCCCAGGTTTGCCCGTGCGGAGGCAGCCTTGGCCATGAGGCCATAGCGACGGTTACAAAAGGCAGCGGACGACTCTTCTTTCTTCCCTTGTGCAATGGCGAGCGCACCTTGATTCTGGCTTAGCCCACCTGACCCACAGCACGGCGGCTTCTCCTGGGAGCAGAGTCACCCCAGGAGTTAACCAGGAACAGTTCAAGAGGAGCAGCTCCAAGCCCACTTGTTTGCGCTCTCAGCAGAGGGACAGGTCGGCCAGATGGAGACAGCGGAGCTGTTTCCCCACCCAATGGTGCCCATGCTAATCAGCAGAGGGATGCACCAGCCGGGGCAGAGGGTATATCAACCAGGATATACAGGGCGACTTTCTGATTTCCCACCCACCGCTGTTCCTAAGCATCAAGCCTCTCTCATTCCCGCCCACCGCTGGAACGGCCCAGACCTGAAGACACTGCGCTGGCCTGGGTTGCCTTGACTTTCTGGTCTGGAATGCGATATCCTAGGCTGGACGGAGGGGTGTCCCTTTGTTTGGCCTGTCCTTGCTCTTTGGAAAACAATGTTCTCCTTGCATGGAGAGATTGCGCTGGGGCAGGTTAGATTCAGGCACTTGTACAACAGCATTCATGATCGCATGGGAACCAGCTCTGCGCAGCGGCGGTAGCCTCGATCTCACGCACTCACAAAGCAAGAGGCGGGCCCCAGAATTGCAAGACAGGCTTACAAGCCATGAAGTGAAAACCCTCAGTAACACACCGGGGGGCGCGGTGTCTGTCGCCTGGTTCCAGCGCCTGTGGAAAAGCTCCCTTCGAGTTTCAGGCTTTTCTCTGAAACCCCCGGCACTAGACACGCCCTTTGTTGGGCACGAGAGCTCAGATTTTCCTGCCGTCTTGGTTCCAGAAGCTGGAGCTTGAAAAAACTAACCAGATGGCATGAAACTTGGGATAAAATTGCAAGAGCTGGCAACACTGCAGCTTCCGGCTGTGCCTCTAGGTTGCGGGGGGCTGAGTGTGGCTGTTTGCCAGAGGGAGGAGCAGCCAGCTCTCCCACCAGTCAGCTGACAGAGCTATTCCTCCCATCAAAGCCGTGTTCATCAAGCGCAGGATATTTTGCCCACATGCCCCAGGAATGTCCTTTCGGATTGGCACTTGTCTACGCTGCAAAGGGACATGCTAAGTCAAAACCAGATGGGATAAAATTAAAAAAGAAAATAGTCAATTGAGATCTTACCTACCCTCCTCTAGTCCGTTTCACCCTGCCTTAAACACTGATGCATTGCTAGCTACTGAAACCCACCGTCTGTATTGCCAAGACATGGCCCCAGGGATCGGAACAGAACAGCTGATGCAGCCTTATGGCTGTGCGGCAGGAGTCCAGTCAGGGTGTTGCTGACTAAAGCTGTTCCTTAGAACAAATCGTCTCCCCATCCTCCATGGAAATACCGGGTTCCCACTGTGGTCCTGCTCTCGCTGGTTACAAGTACAGGCGAGATGGGAACATTACCTGCAGGGGGCGCCATTGCACCTCTTTTGGTGCCTCTGTCCCGGCAGAAGTGAGTGTGTAACTGTGTGTGTGTGTGTGTGTGAGGCTGAGTACAGGCAACTCAGGGTGTGAATGTGAGTGTGTGTGAGTGAGTGTGTGTGAGGCTGAGTGCAGGCAACTCAGGGTGTGAGTGAGTGTGCGTGTGAGTGAGTGTGCGTGTGAGTGAGTGTGCGTGTGAGTGCAGGCAACTCAGGGTATTTGTGTTTGTTTCTCTCTGGTGTTGCCGCAAGTCCCTAAAAACGGTGCAACTGCCCAGAAGGAAAATCAAAGGACACCAAGATGACCCCAAGGCTCCGTGCAGTCCTTGCCTTCGGCGCGTTTTCTTGCTGCTTGTGGTCACAGTCCGCAATCGTTCGGGGCACCCTGCCGCCTCACAATCCCACGAAGATCCAGGAGGGGCCAGATTCCAGGAGCAAGAGTTACCCAGATCTAAGGGAACAAAGCAAAGGCTGGAGTTAGGAAGGAATCCTGGCCTGACACTGACCCAGCCTAGCCTGAGATTTGTGAGCTAGGCCGGGCTTAAGCCGGGCTCGGGGCTCGCCAGACGGAAGTAGACAATGTTCCTAAATCAGAGCTGCCTAAGAGCCTGTAGTTAGTTGCACTCAGAGGCCCTGAGGGACGTTGGGGCCTGGCCGTGGTTCTGTGCTGCATAGACAGCCCGGCCCCAGAGTGCTCCCAGGCTGAAGAGATGCGGCAGACAGAAGCTGGGGGTGGGGACCATTATCATCCACACCTTCCAGAGGGGGAATCGAGGCAGAGAGATTCAGGGCCCACTTACTCAGGAGTCCATGGCCGAGGCGGCTACTGACCCCTGCTCGCTGCTCTCCCCGCGAGGTGCCCCCGTTCCTGGGTCTCTGACTCGCTCACAATGCAAGAGGGAACCTCGCTGGCCAGGGCCGGTCCACGCCCAGCGCTTTTCCTTTGGGGCCTGACGTGGGGAGGGGAGGTTGTGACTGAGCCCTGCCTCTTGCTGGCCCCATTCCTGCAGCTGCTCCCCATCCCCTGGGCACTGCATGTGGGAGGCGGCTGCTGCTGGAGCCTGGGGCTGCTACAGAGTCGCTCCCTTCCCCATGAACGCAGTCTGCGAGTTGCGGCTTTTCAAGGAGACGCAGCCTCCTGCCGCAGAGCAGGGCCTGCCCAGCACGGAACGCGGGCCTGGCAGGAGCAGTGCGGCAAATCACACGGGCAGAGCTGCGCCCGCGCCGCCACCGGCCCACGGACAGGAACAGCCTCTAGCGGGAAGAGTTTCTCTTGCCAGCCAGGAGCTGTGGGGCTGAACACGTGGCGGCGACGGTGTGAGCCGCATCCCCATGCGGAGGGTTTGCCAGTCCCGCCCGCTGTCGGTTTTTTCTGTAATATCCGGGGCCCACCTGGCTACACTGCACACAGCCAGCGGGCACAGACACACAGGGCCTTTGAAACGTGGCCATTTGGAGACTGCCAGCTGCCTCGAACGGGAGGACGGAAAGCCGAGAGCGTCAGGGAATTCGGGCCTGAAGATTGCCAAGGTAGCACAAACTCCTCAAGCTGCAGTAGCACAGGCTGGGCTGGCTCACGTAGCTGAGGTGTCCCCGTGGCATCCACAGTGGAGATGCTGCTCTCCGAACGCCCCTCTGACAGGCTGTATTTGACCCAATGGAGCTGCAGGTCTCCCCCTCCATGGTTTGTGCCCCTGCCTGGGGAAACCTCACTCGCAGCGTGGGCTGGCTGACAGAAATAGCGCCGAGAGCCAGGAGCTTGGGCTGACCTGGGAATCTTTGCCAGGGCTCACCAAGGAATGACAAGATCCCCAGGCCTTGCCGGATCGCAGGCGCTACTCCAGGGGTTTGTTGTTACACATTGATACAGCTGAGGCCAGGAACCTGGACAAAGAATCTGCCATATTCAGGGCTGATGTCTCGGGGCGCGTCTACACAGCAGGGCTAAAGATGAATTCAGCGACGCAACTTCAGCTATGTCAATTGTGTAGCTGAAGTCGAAATAGCTGAATTCGGCTTTTGGAGCTCTCTACACAGCAGGAAGCCGAAGGAAGAACGCCCTCCCTTCGACTGCCCTTACACCTCGGCGGTGTCTAGACTGGCATGATTTGCGCAAATACTTTTAATGGAAACGTTTTTCCGTTAAGAGTATTTGCACAAGAGAGCGTCTATGCTGGCACGTGCCTTTGTGCAAAAGCATCCGTGCCAGTGTAGACGCTCTCTTGCGCAAGCAAGCTCCAATGGCCATTTTAGACATCGGGCTTTCTTGCACAAGAAATTAACGTTGCTGTCTACACTGGCACGGATGCTTTTGCGCAAAAGCAAATCTTTTCGCAAAGGCACACACCAGTATACACTGGCTTAACCCTGAGCGGGAGCGTCAGAGTATTTGTGCAAGAACCACTGATTTTGTACATTACAGAGTCAGTGTTCTTGTGCAAATACTCGTGGTCAGTGTAGACAGGCGATAAGATTTTGTGCAAAAGTCTAGACGCAGCCCTCGTGAAATGAGGGTTCCAGGAGTCGGAGTAAGAAGTCCTTCAGCTCGACATTATGTAGAAATAACGGCTCGCTGTGTAGATGCACACGATGTTATTTCGGAATAGCGTCAGTTACTCCAAAATATCGCTGCTGTGTAGACGTCTCCTTGGTGACTAAGTGACAATCTAAAATGAAGGCCTGGAGGGTTCTGGTAACTTGTCCCCCTGTTTGGACAGAGTATCTCAGTTTGATAGCAGTCCCTGCTGCGTTGTAATGTCCATCGCCAGGAGGAATTCAAGTTACACCGTTCTTCCCATCAGAGCTAGCCTTTTGGACTCCTCTGCCGGCCCAAATTTGTACCCACCCTGTCTGCTTCTCTCACTTGCTGCTGTCACATCAGGGACTCTTCAGTTGGATGGTGAAAAAGGATTCAAAGTCGCGATCCTAATTCGACCTACCTACTCCGTGCTGCGTGTAGCCGCGGGCACAGAGTTCAGACTAAGAGGGATTTAAAAATGGCGGTGCCTGGGAGCATGCAAATGAAGCCCGGGATATTTAAATCCTGGGCTTCATTTGCAACTCCGGTTGCCCTCATTTGCCTACCTAGCTCGAACTAACGAGCTAGTGTAGACATACCCTCAGCATGCTCATCGGGCACCCATAGGGCCTTACAGAATAAGTCCAGGGCCTTACAGAATATGTCCAGAAGGCCTGAGCCATTGTCTGCACCAACAATCCCTTCACCGCAATCACCACCACTGATGTGTCAGTCACACCAAGCACACAGGTAATCCCAGCCCTGCTGTATTCCTATTCTAAAGATCTAACATCACTAGCGCCAATCAGCAGCATGCCAGGCTGCTCTGTCAAAGCTACCAGCTTTTTTTCTCAAGTTACATGTTTCACTTTTCTGACACTGACATCCAAGACCTCCCTCACAACCCAGTGGCACCTTTCTCCAGTGCGGCTCTTTCTTTTGACGTCCAAAATATCCGGGTACCTTGGCTGCTTGAATTTGCGCAAGAACACTGATGATCTAATGTAAGATTGTCAGTGTTCTTGCGCAAATACTATGCTGCTCCCGCTCGGGAAAAGGCCCTCTTGTGCAAATGCTTTTGCGCAAGAGGGCCAGTGTAGACAGCTAAAAAGTGTTTTGAGCAAAAAAGCCCCGATGGCAAAAATGGCGATTGGGGCTTTCTTGCGCAAAACCGCGTCTAGATTGGCATGGACGCTTTTCCGCAAAAAGCGCTTTTGCGGAAAAGCATCCATGCCAATCTTTTAACGGAAAAGTTTTTCCGTTAAAAGCATTTGCGGAAAATCATGCCAGTTTAGGCGTAGCCTGTGGGTATGTCTACACAGCAGCATTATTTCGGGGTAACACGTTATTCTGAAATAACAACGTGTGCATCTATGCTACAAGCCTTTATTTTGAAATCAGGATGAGCTGGAGGACTTCTTACTCCGACTCCTGTAACCCCCATTTCACGAGGAGCAAGGGAAGTCAGAGGAACAGTGCTCTTCCTTCAACGTTCTGCTGTGTAGACAGCGCCAAAAGCTGAATTCAGCGATTTCAACTTCAGCTACTCAACTGATGTAGCTGAAGTTGTGTAGCTTAATAAGAACATAAGAACGGCCGTACTGGGTCAGACCAAAGGTCCATCTAGCCCAGTAGCCTGTCTGCCGACAGTGGCCAGCAGCAGGTGCCCCAGAGAGGGTGGATCAAAGACAACGATCAAGCGATTTGTCTCCTGCCATCCCTCTCCAGCCTCTGACAAACAGAGGCCAGGGACACCATTTCTATCCCCTGGCTAATAGCCTTTTATGGACCTAACCTCCATGAAATTATCTAGCTTCTCTTTAAACTCTGTTGTAGTCCTAGCCTTCATTCAACCTTAATTCGAGAGGAAGGGGGTCACGTTTCCAGCATGCAGCTTTCTCCATCCCTTAATGCCATTAATATCCCACAATTTTCATATCTTTTTAAAAAAATACCCCGCCAGGCATTTCTAATATCCACTGTTGCTGACGGACGCACGGAGACCAGACGCCTCTGCACTAGTCTCATGAACATGACAAACACGGGGCACATACGGTGGGATCAGCTCAGGATACAGGTTCGGGATGCTGAGCGGTGACTGCAAAACTGTCAGACACAAAGGCCACATTCCTAGACTGATGTGCCAAGTTCGCTTCAGATCTCCAGTGCGTGACCCTGGAATGAGAACTGCACTGGCAGTGGAGGAGAAACTGGTGATTGCATGCTGGAACCCTGAAATGTTGGATTGCTACTGGTCAGCAAGAAATTGCTGGTCAGTTCAGAAAAGGGCAACAAAAATGATGAGGGGTTTGGACCCGGTCCCATGTGAAGAGAGATTAAAAAGATTGGGACTTTTCAGCTTAGGAAAAAGGAGACTAAGGCGGGATGTGATAGAGGTCTATAAAATCATGACTGGTGTAGAAAAAGTGAATAAGGAAAACTTATTCACTTGTTCCCATAATATAAGAACTAGGAGTCACCAAATGAAGGTAGCAGGTTTACAGTAAACAAAAGGAAGATTTTCTTCACATGGTGCACAGTCAACCTGTGGAACTCCTTGCCAGAGGATGTTGTGAAGACTAGAACCTTAACAGATGCTCCCTCTGGGGCATCTGGTATTGGCCACGGTTGGCAGACAGGACCCTGGGCGAGATGGACCTTTGGTCTGATCTGGTCTGGCCATTCGTATGTGCATTATTTTGAAGTGGGAAAATCCACTGTGGGGCCCGTACTGCGTACATATAGGGCCTTTAATCATCTCCTACTATGCAAGACCGTAACTCCCTGCAATACGAAAGACTTCGTGGATGGATCTGCAGCAACGAGGTTCCCAAACTGTGGGACGGCGACAGATGGCAGGCGTGTCCCTATCTTGGCACCAGGCCACCTTGCCACAGAAAGTCTCCTTGGCTCTGCTCATGCAAGTGTTGGTG